ACTTAGTAAAAATTTAGCGAAACTAAAGGTTTTACCATTTTGCCAAATCCAAAATGAGTTTAGACAAGCAACTTTAGCAGTAGCTCTATCTTTATCAATCAACAATAATGCCTTAGGACTTAAGTTTAATTTACAATATTAACATATCGATATACTTATTCTACTAAGACTATATATAAAGAATTTAAACCATTCTGCTTAGGCTGAAGCATTCATAAATTTACCACACTTTATGAAATATTTTAATAATAATATAAATTGAATGGTTATGACTTTTATAATCAATAATAATGAATTTACTACATAAACCTCCTTTATAAATAGTTATATCAAAAGAAACAAATATCTTCTCTTATTAGAGATGCTTCTTATTCTAATAGTTTTAAATAAAATACATCTAACTATTTTTACTTGATCTATTTATCCTAATTGTACAACATCTAAAGAATCCTTTGTAGTAGTACCAGCCGTTGGATTCAGAGTCAACAGCTGAGTCGACTCTGCAAAATTATTTAGAGTCGATTTCAGAATTTTCAATGACTGAGCCATAACTGAGTTACTGTCCCAAATTTGATATAAGGTCAGAATATTGTGAAATTTTTAATTAAACAAAACTTCAAATTTTTAGTCAAATGGGATTCTTGTCAACATTATTTATGATGAAATTTATAATTATCTATCTTTTTATAACATTAATTAAATTTTAAAAATTTTTTAATATTAATAATACAATTATCATCGCTAATTTCAAATGAGAGTCTTGACTCAGTCGACGGCCGAGTCAACTGAAAAGTCACTAACGGCTGACTGAGTCGACTTCAGAATTTGTCACGACTGGTACTACTAATCCTTTGCATATTGTGATAATGTCTAAATAACAGTATATTACTTACTCAGTTGACCTTAAATATACAAAAATCTTTACTACAAAAATTAGTGAATTTAAAAATAATTGAGCTTTGCAAATCATTTTGTTTATCAAATCAATCAACTATCAATATGATTTACTTCTAATTTCAGTCACAACAGGAGCGTCATTCTATTATTTAATTAACAGTTAATTTTAAGATTTTTAGGTACTGTTTGAAGAAAATTTGAGACATGATTAAGAATATAAATCTTAATAGTTTTTAAATTTCAATTTGTTCAAAAAAAAAGTTTCTTTATATCGGGTATTAATATATATATATATTGTTTTTTATAAATAAAAAATAACTCAATAACAAAATGAAGTTTAGCCTTATACTTTATTTATTACATAAATCTCCTTAATTAATCAAACTTCCCACATGAATGATTATTTCGGTATTACATAGTTAAAGGTTAGAATCTTTCAGTAATGTATTGATCATGTGACGTTCATATTTACCATCGATCCTTTACTAAAGACCATTGTTATCAGCATGTGTATTGCTTTTGTTTTTATTTTATTTTATTTATTTTATTTTTTTAATTGTAGTGTTAATTTTATCCAAAGTAAATTTTTTATTTCATTGTTAAAGATGAAAGGTAAAAGTGACATTGTGACTACATTATATTTTTCCTTATTACCATTAAAGATTGAAAAGTATTTCAATAATAAATTTTTTTAGTATTGGGTTTCACTACCGGGGGAGGACAAAAGTATTACACGATTTTGATTTAGATATTTTAGTTATCATATGTAACTGAGCCATATTTTTTTAGTAACATATTGGCTGGCTTATGCTTAATAAAATATTTAATAATTGCTAAATTAAAGTGTAAAATCGAAAAGTTAAAAACACAATACTTTTCAATTTATCGCATGTACTAAGCTTCGTTATCGGATTCAATATTTGGTTTTTTAGATGTTTCTCTTGCAAAAGAAACCAAATAACTATTGTATAATGATATCCTATAATATTTATGATTTCTGAGTTACTGAACCAAATTTTTTGCTATAATAATGCTCTTTTTTTCTAAAAGATAAGTCCTTTAATTATACTATAACTTGCGCCAAATCGAACTTTGGGAGTATTTTCAAATTCGATTTTACGAATTGCAACATATTAATTCAAACTATAATAAAAATATTTCATTTATGTAATCGATAATCAATATGTTACTAAAAAAATATGGCTTAGATACATATGATAAATTAACTAAAATATCTAAATCAAAACCGTGCAATACTTTTGTCCTCCTCCGGTAAATCCAATTATATTAGAATATTCCATGTTTATGTTAGTTTGATTAGAATAATTACTAAAAAAAAAAAAAATCGTGGGCGTTTAATGTGAGTCGAAATAAGTATGAATTTCTAAATGTCTTGATGCCAGATTTTTTTATTATTGATTAAAAATAACAATAAGTAGCCATTTTAGTTTACATTAATTGTTCTCTTATCTTGTTCCGCAACTGTATTTATGATGTGATACTTGTTTAAAATATTTTTTATATGATGGTACACATAAATGACGCGATTTGGTCGATCAAAACTTTTTTTTGCAATGAAAGGAACATTTATTAGATTAGATTTAACTATTTAAAATTTAGCACAAAGTCGAAATGGGTAAAAAATTTCATGGTAGAATACCGAAACGGTCAAAAATATTTCAAGCCGAAATACGAAATGAATTACGAGGGTCGAAATGAATTATGAAAGTCGAAACAATTTACGAGTTGAAAATGAATTAAAGCTTTGATTAAACCAGTTTCAAAAAAACCTGTTTTTTTTTAATTAATCACGAACGCGATCTCTTGTATACAATTGTTACTTTGCTCAATAATCTTTAGACAGTTTTCTACAGAATTAAATCCTGTGCCATATTCAAATTCGTATGGCTTCTTATAATCAAACAAATGTCCTATTAATTGATTAGCTGAATTTACTACACCACTAAAATTATTGATTTGTAGTTCTATTGACCAATAACATATTTGACGTAAAATGCCCATTTTTAATCCTTTTCCTCTATATAAAGGTGAAAAAAAATATCCCAACATATACAATTTGAAGTCGAACTGACTCCATCATCTCAGATTGAATTTTCCAAACAAAACGAACGAAATTTTATTATATTTGATACTTTAATAACATTGGAAAAAGCGTTTGTCTTATATTCAAAGAGTTAAACTTCTTTAATCAGTTTAGTAATTTTAATTAATTATTCAACTTCTTAATAAAAACATCTGACGGCTAAGGATTCAAGAAAATTATGTAATAAACTTTCACATCTCAGAATCGATATAAGACAATCAAATGCTGTGATCCAGCGTATCGTACAATATCCTTTATACCACCACCTACATCGATAAAATTATTTAAAGTCCTGAGATAATAAAGCTTCAATGATTGTAAAAAAATATAAAATAACAATTTCATGCATCTAAAACTGTTGTTTTTGAAAATTCTTCATTATCGCGTTAGATAAAAGATCGATATGAAAAATCTAAATTTTAAAATGTTTTTTATAATTTTTTGTAGTTTCAGTTTTTATCACTAAACTCATTAAAGATATAATTGTAATTTCTGAAATAAATTACCAATATAATTAACTTCATCATTTAATACATTTATTTTTTGCAGATATATGTATTATCAAGAATCTGTTTATTTATTAATTCATTTTATAATTTTGTCAATAATAATTTAATAATTTTTAATTATGAATAAAGAGTAAAAGAGTAAAGTAAAACTTATAAACATATTTTCCTATAATAATAATAAACAATATCAATCAAATATATAATTTTTCCCACAGTTTAACTTAATGCCATGCCACAAGATGGTGTTATTGTACCCGAAATGCGTTAATGTCCGAAATGATCATTTCGGATATCCCAAATGCGAAGATCGTTTCGGCCCCAAATGCGCATTTATCCCAAATGATCATTTCGGATAATGTCCCAGACGATCATTTCGAATATCCCAAATGACCACTTCGGATAATATCCCAAATGCTCATTTTGGATATCCCCAATGACTACTTCAGACATTCACGAATTGTAATTTCGGACATATGACCTCTTCGAACCGTTTCAGATGACCAGAGACATATAGGAAATTAACATTTTATGCCCAAAAGTTGAATTATTAATTAAGATGCCCTATATTTGTCATTTGGATCATTCGAAATGGTCTTTTGGAACATAAAATAGTCATATTGAACATCCGAATTGATAATTTGGATCGAAGTGATTATTGGGTGAAGTGTTGATCATTTGGGATATGATCCGAAGTGGCCATTTGGGATATCCAAAATGAGCATATGGGATATTATCCGAAGTGGTCATTTGGGATAAATGCGCATTTGGGACAAATGCATGTATGAAACGATCTTCGCATTTGGGAAATCCCAATGCGCCGATTTGGGATATCCGAAATGATCATTTCGGACATTAACGCATTTGGGCTACAACAATTTAATTTTCAAATTTAATTCAAATATTAAAAGTTCAATGAATTTTTTTTTATTTTAATATTAAAAAATTTGAAAATCAACATTTTATTAATTTTTTTTTTTTAGCATTCCCTATGCATGCATATTATTGCCGCTTTTAAAGATCATTCATTTAAGATCTGCGATTACATGTGCAAAAATATTTTAATTAATAAAAATTTCTCACGAAAACTATTCTCTTTTCAACCTTTTTAAACTTAATAACTTAAAGTATTAAAGTTTTTGTTGTGTTATAGTAGAAATTTTATATGTAAAAATATTTTTAAATATAAAATTAAATCCCCCGTTTACGCATCACTTGAGATTTCAACTGATTACAGGACAATCACACGCGAAAACACTGTGATTACACTAATTTTTCAAGGATTTATTATCTATATAATAACTTATTCTAACTTGAAGTTTTAATATATTAGGATAGAATTAACAATCTTTTTTGGGATTTTTAGAATTTTTTGAAGCAATTTTAAACTTTATTTAACAATATGAATCTAATAATTCTACAAAAATGATCGAAAAAAATCATTGTGTCGTGTGCCTTATTTTTGATGATCAATTACTTAATTTGTCCTATTATAATTTATTAGCATTGCACAAATATGACGAAATTGTTCAATAAATATAATGTGAATTTTTTTTTCAATCGGAATCTCTACTTAGTATCTAAAATATAATTAAGCTTAGTATTTAAAAAAATATTCGCTTTCCACAGTGATTGACGGTAACCGACTATCCTGAAATAATACGAATGATTAACAAATTAAGGATTTTTAATCCTCAACCCCTCACTCAACCCCAATGAAATGAATTGTTTTAATTTTTTTTTTAAAATTTTGCAATATATATATATACAGGTATCTGAATCATAACTTTCCTTTCTTCATTTACACTATATAAAAAAAGTATTCTTATTCGTCATGAAGCTTTCCATTTATTTTGCAATATTCTTTGGTCTACTAGTCCATCTCGCTCAAGGTAATCTTTTGAATAATTATGTCATAATATTTAATAATCATCTTTTAATAACTTTCGTATTGGTTGAATGAAAATAATAAATCTACAGGCCATACCGTATGGATACAAAACAAGGTAACGGTTGGTACTTTTACTGCTGTTGCTGCCACTGAAACAGGTGAAAAAAAAGACTTTAGTTGGTATGGACCCTATATCGACATGCAAAGCGAAAATGCTCACAAGGGTTATCATTTGATTATACCTGAAAATATAACAACATTTTGGCTTGTTTTCGGAGTTGCCTACTCTTTACAAGAAAATAAATGGCGAGGCCCCATCAACAATGATGGGGATAAATGTTGGCACTATCATGGGACTTTAGATGGTTGGGATGTATATGAATGTTAAACCAATTATTATTCTCAAAGCTGCTATAATGATCTTTTTATTTCTCTATTTTCGTTTAATAAATCATTATCATAGTTTATGATTTTGAATCATTTTATATTTATATATATATATTTTTTATTATTTTTATTCATTATTTTTTTTAATTTATATAGTCATCTTCAATGGAACTTACATTAATAAATCAATTTGAAAATTATTATGGTTCTTTTAAATAAATATATTCAGTATCTGTTGTATCGTAACGTTCTATCACCAAAACTATATCATATTATTCGATTATAATAGAAACTGGCAAATTTGAGATTTCGCATTATCTTACAAACTTTATTTTTTGTTTTTTACATATTTTTACTTTATAAAAAATAAACAGATACAGAATATCATGTCAGTTCGGTCTGAAAAGGAATCTCCGAAGTAAAAGCCATCCAGAACTCGTAATTTTAATATAAAAAGTAATGCCCTAAAATACGTTGCAAGAGACTTTTACAAACTCATTTTATTGTGAGCATATTCCAAAAAAAAAAATAAAAATTACCAACATAATTAGTCCGGAAAGAAGTGAAGAACTCCCTACTAACAGACTCTTTTGTCCCGCTCAGTATTTAAGTCGATACGTGATTGGTCACTTTCGTTACACTTATGTCCCAGACTTAACAACAAGACGATATTGATAATGTAATCTCAAAACAAAAATACTAACAATAGTTATTTCGCCATATTATTCGTATATCGCAACCAGAGTGGCCTGAAGCGTAACTGAATCCACTACTGTGCTACAACCAACAAATTAAAATATTGCTTTACAATAACGATCATTTAAACGATTCGATTATAACGGAAAATAGATAGATGGCACGGTTGAAGTAAAAAGTTAAAATCTATATCAAAATAATCTTTGTACAGTACAACCAAAACAAAGAAATAGTCTCTCAAAAGGATAATCCTCTTTTATAAAACTGTCCCGAAATGAGGTTAAGAAATCAAGAACATTTGATAATTGCAGCCAAAGCGATCGAATCCAATACGAAAATATCACAAACAAACGGCTTGAAATGAAAAGAAAAGGCCAGAGTATTGTTCGATAGCTGCCTTTGACATTATTAAGAAAAATGTAATGTACAATTAACTTTAATTCTCGATATATCCAGATAGAATATTTTGGAAGCAAAAGTTTTGGGTGGCACTAAGTTTCAATTTCAAACAATAGTATAATGCATTGTTGTCATAAAATAATGAATGTTAAATAAAAAATTAAATGTTAGTAAAAAAAATTATTTAACGAACCCTAAAAAGTAATGTGAGATATTTTAAATAAACTTCTTTCGTTAATATATAAGAAGTTGAGAGAAAAGGCATTTTAGATACTTTTCGTGTAAAAGGCTTAAAAATAGTTTGCATTAGCGTGATTTGACTTATTTTGGAAGCTCATATATCTGTTAAGTAATAATCCAGTGTGAGAATGTATTCTTTCACGTTAATATTAAGCAGTTTCAAAAATCTCCACTATACCCATCACAAATGGTTATCTTTAAGATATTGTAATACCTTTAAGTTAAGTGTCATTACATGCGTATTTTGTTACTCATGAATTGCAAATTTCGGTTAGAAGTTCTAATACCGAAACATAGCGCTATGTTAATTTTTCATTTTTGGAACCAATTTCAAATAAACATAATACTGATCGTATATTTTATTATTATTTTTTTTAACAGATTAAGTAAATAAAAAATTTGGTAGATATAATAAATATTTAATATCGAAATCAAGTTCTTTTGATTTATAACCTAAAAGAAATTATTTGATTTAATTAAATTATAAATTAAAAGGTATTTAATGTAAGAATTAAAACTAAATTATTCTCATCAAATCTAAATATATTACCATCAATCCAAGTAGCTTTATAAATTTTGCTAAATCCACCTTCGGTAATAAATTCAATATTTTCAAATTGACTATAAGGAATAAATTCCAATATCTCAGAAAATTCTGAATTGATTTGCGTATATTTGATAAAATTATCTACGACTTTATTTTTACTTTTAAATAATAGGATCTATAATATATTGTATATAATCGTTTGAATTGATTAATCTATTTGTAATCATTACAAAATCCATTGTAACAGGTTCTTGAGTTATTCCATAACACTTTTGGATATTAATTTGCTATATTTTTAAAAATATATTAATAAAATTGATTTTTCTATAATATACTATAACTAAATAAATCATACCTTATTTAACTCTTCAAAAGTTATATTTTCTGAATTATTATTGAGCCTTATAAATACAACTTGCCAAGTACCACTTCGATTAAATTTCCATTCTTTATCATTCCAATCCAAAATATGACCATCTATCCAAGTATCTTTATAAATTTTATTAAAATCATTTTCTAAACGAAATTTTATATCTTTAAAATGATCATAGGGAATAAACTCCATCACATTATTGGGAATACGGTAACTAGACGCCTTCGCCAATCTCTTGATTTGTTTAATTTGTTTATTTCTAATAAAATTATCTACCATTTTTATTTTTACTTTTAAATAACAGGTGATCTATTATATATTGTATTATATTGTATATAATCGTTCCACTTGATTAATTTATCTGTAATTATTATAAAATTCATTGTTACAGGTTCTTGAGTTATTCGATAACACATATATTTAAAATGTATTAATAAAATTGATTTTTCTATAATATGCTGTAACTAAATAAATCATACCTTATTTAACTCTTTAAAAGTGATATTTTCTGAATTATTGAGCTTTTTAAAAGCAACTTGCTTAGTACCGCTTTGTTCAAAATTCCATTCGTTATACTTCCAATCCAAAATATGACAATCTATCCAAGTAGCTTCATAAATTTTACTAAAGTCATTTTCTAAACGAAATTTTATATCTTTGAATTTATTAAAAGGAATTAATTCCATCACGTCATTCTTGTTATTGCTGCTGTTTGTTGTATGATTGATTTTTCCATGATATTAGAAAAAAAGGTTCGTAATGCCCTTATTTATGTATTTATCCATATTGTTGATTCTGCGAGGAAAGGTTTTATAGAAAACCGCATTGTTTCACAACATGCTTCCGAAGAATTCTGTAGATACACAAATGTATTGAAGATCTTAAATCAATTTCATCATTATTTTTTTGTGTAACAAAAAAATGATTATACCACTTTGCGTTAACACACACAAAATCACTAAGATCAAAATACAGATAATTAAATATCAAGTAAAAGTTTTAGTTCTCTCACGAGTTTAACGAAGTTTATTTGAGTTAAATTAAATATTTGCTTTTAAAATTTTACAAATAAATATTTTTTGCAAACCATCGCTTTCATATGTTTACAATAAAAATGGATGAAAATTGCGAAATCGTACAATGCATTATTCTATCGAAAGGAAGTTTAAAATTATTAATAAAAAATTTTAATAATATCTTGCGAAACAAATTGATTACAATAACGATCCTGGATTTTAACCATTCGGGATTATGAACATTTTGGATTATAACCTCGGGCACCCTATAAATAAATACTAATACAGCCAATATCCATGTTTAATCTTCTTGATAAAAGAAACCGATATATATTGATGATTTACTATGATACATAATGTACTTTTTATAGCCGATCCTTTTTCGGTTCGTACAGCATTTTTTTTATGTTAAAAGTTATTATGCGTCAATCATTAATTGATTGCAATTAATGAACCTTGTGCACTGCAAAAGAAAATGATATCTGCTTGATAATTTTTCATAAAATGATTATTTATCATTTATATTAATAAAGATCTATATAAAATAAAATAAATAAATTTAAATGAACTTTTTTTTTAAAAATTCTAGGGTAAAATTTTAATCGAAAGTTAAACGTGAATAAATTTGAATCTTTTTTACAAAATGACATTTTTAATGCCACTTAGTTATACAGTCACACCTCAATATAACGAAGTTGGCGTCCGGGCTGATCAGCCCTTCGTTATAAGAAAATTCGTTATAGTAATAACGAATTATTCGGTATAATAAATGATTACTGAAAAAGGAAAATACAAACATAATTTTACTATGATATAATTAAAGTTAATTTTATGATGTCATTTATAGAATAACCTCTCCGTGGTTAAAGTTAAAGTGATCTTGAAGCAATTTTGGTAATGCAAAAATTGGAATTAATCTTAAATAAAACAATTTATAACAATAAATATAAATTTATTTTTAAAAGTTTTGAGATCTCTTCATTAAACAAAAGAAAAAAGTAAGAAAATTTATTAATGATGGTTCAAAATACAATTAATTAATATTATTTATTTATACGAAAAAAAAAATAAAAAATAAAAAATTAAAAAAAAATAATAAAAAAAAAAACAATAAAAAAATAAAACAACCACAAAATGAAAACCCCACTCCGGTAAAAAAAAGAAATCAAAAAAAAAATGAAACCCTCATGATAAAAATGAAAAAAAAATTAAAACCTCGATAAAAATAAAAAAATTAAAAAAAAAACAAAAAAAATTAAACCCCCTACTCCCCACCTTCCAACTACTAGTTCGCCTGGTTCGCCGTCGGCACGTTACGGGCTCTCCTTCAATGATGCCTCGTAACTAAAGAATGTAAAAAATACTTAATATAAATTTAAAAATTCCTAAAATTTTTATTAAGAACTATCAATTAAACATAATAATTACCTGGCCTATCCCAAAACCTAGTTTGGAATAGATCATAAAATCGTTCCCCATTATACGACCACCTTCCCCCTCTTCTCGCACCATTACGCCAATCACAAAAGTCCTAAAGGATACATATTAATTACTTATTAAGTTATATTTATCAACATATTATTATTTATTTATTTACTTACCCCATAATCCCTCACCAGATTTCGCCACTTCTGCTCGCATTGGCGAGAAGAATAATCGCCGTTATAACGGCCATTTATTCTTCTCGTGACGCTCTGCCAGAATCCCAATTTATTCCCACGAAAATAATAATGATATTCATGGTTGCGTCTCCTCCTTTCTTCGACTAAATAAATATCTTTGTTTTTAATAAAAAAAAAAAAATAAAGGTATAGGCATTGCATTTGTTTAAATGATAATCTAGTTTTAGCGAGAGTTTTAGCACTTTCAGGAATTCTAATTTTTTTTTTATGTAAAGAATTTTTAAAAGTATCCATTTCTGTGCGTAGTTTATGTAGAGACGTATTAAAATGGAATTCTAATTTTATAAAAATTACAAAAAAAGATGATATATACATACTGTTTTGTTTTTTCTTTATTTAGTTTAAAATTACTTCCATATAGAAGAATAATGAGGGAAGGAATAGGAATTTTGCAAATCTATAATTATTTTGTTTATTAACGCGTTCCATCTGATAAAAAAAATGTTTAATTGGTAAGTCATGTAAAGAAAATTTATTAAAATATTTCAATCAAAGAATTGTTATATACTGTGCATACGATGATTGAGTAAAGAAGATAAAATACTTTTTTTTTCCCTTCCAGTGTTCACTGATAATTATACGATCCTTTTTTTTTTAAAAAAAAAAATAATAAATTTATTAATATTTTGGGATATTTATATTTTTGTTATAAAAAAAAGTTTGGCCCATTAAAATCTTGTTTAAGAGAACTATATCGGAATAACTAGCACCTGCTACTTAATCAAGGACACAAGAAACTCCAAAACCTCAAAATAGATTTCTCAAAAGGGTTGTATATGCTAATCTAAAAGATGGTTTAAAAGGTTTAAACGTGACAGAAAATTAATAATGTATCTTAATCTTTTAAAATTGTTGGCTTTCTATAGGGGATAATCAATTACTGAGGATCTATATTTTTTTCAAGGAATGAATAAAGTATGGATGAAAATGCACAATAATCCAATATAACATGATGACAACCACCACATCAATTATAGTTATTTCGACGCGAATCGTGATAAACAGAATCACAATTTCAGAAACTTCATTTTCAATTCATCAGAAATACTGTACCATCACATAGCGATTTGGGTTACTAGATAACTAGATCAACTAAATCAATAACGGAAGAAGCATTTGAGCTGCGTAATTGTTCACCCTCATTACAAACAATATCTATCAAATGTGATGGTTACACCATTCCATAAAGAAAAAAATAATTTAAATTTTCTTTTTTATTCGTTTAAATCTAACAAATATTAATTTAAATAATATTTAGAATAATTTAGCTAAAACAATAAATTTTTGTATGAAATTGAATGAATGTCTAGGAAAAGCTTTAACACGATGTATTATTATTGGAGTACTTGTTTCCGGGTCCTCGATTTGGAATGCTGGAGTATGCCGGAGGAGCATCAAAATATGGATCATCAAGATTTGGAACAGTGTCTCTGTATTCCGGTAAAGCATCAAGATTTGGAACACTGGGGAGAAGTTTTCTCCTTTCGGACGGATCATTTGAAAAGCAGGCACAGCAGCAGCATGGTAAGATCACGAATGGGGGAATTATGGTAAATAAGGTCCAAAATGAAGTAGGTGATTCAACTATAACTCGATAAACCGTATTTCCAAGGTCACGTTCTAGAACAATGTCATAATTCTCTGATAAACTAATACCACTGATTTTATATTTTGGAGAGCCAATCGTTGGAACCGACCAAGAGATAATGAAATTGCTTAAAATGTCATCATTCATGGAAAAGATGGCATAACCTTTAACACCTCCGAGAAAATGACTTGTAACGCTAGAAAAAGCCTCTCCCTGACCGTTTGCGAGAGGGTAGATTTGTGGTTCACAGCTAATGTTGTAATTATTATCATTTGAAGTAATCCACCGACCACTTTCAAGGCTGACAGCTACCAGCTCCATTTCATAACCGCTATTATTAATGAGCACAATTGTAGCGACACGTGAATGGTGTCTCGACGCAAAATTGCGTGATAGGAGAGGGCAACATTCTAGACTTGATCCGTCTTCACAATAAAATGAACCGATATCTTGTTCAAATAAAGGAATATCCTGACTATTTAAAGAGTCAACCTCTTGTTCAGTTAAAAGGGCAACCTCTTGCTCCGTTAAAGGGACAACCTCTTGTTCAGTTAAAGGAAAGGAATGATTAAAGGTTGATTGAAATAACAAAATAAGAAAAATATTGATTATAATGAAAAGTGATTTAGAATACATCATGAAAATAAATTCTTTCGGAATATTGAATACTTAAAAAGTATAGTTTTCCGAAAATATTTTGAACAACCTTCTTAAATAGAAATGCACTTGCAATGATCGTATAAATTCGAAAATTATAAATTATGCACTTTCAAGATCCTTATGCATAGCACATTAAAAAAAAAAAATTTTAAAGCTTTTTTTTTTTAAAAAAAAATTTATGTATCGTATTTATATGAACACAAAATACCTTGTGACCCGAAATTCAATAGCATTAGTCATCTGTGATACTTACATCATTTATTGTACTACGTTTGAGAAAAATAATGATTTTATTCGTCAATTTTGAATTTTACGTAGATTAAATTAATAAGGTGACAATGCAATGATTTCGAATCTTTCACAAATACCATTTCACAAATTAATTTTTAATGGTAGTAAGAATAAGAGAATTCGCGAAGAAAAAAATTGGACTAATTGAAATGGCTCGACGAAATAATGAGCGTCTTGCAGAATCTTTTCCAGTTAGCAGAAGAAACGGAAACTCATTTTAGCAAAATTCAAAATTATAGTTTGACGAAACTTAGGACAGGTGTATCCACTATGAAAAAGAGCTTACTTATTAGATTTTGACAGCGGCAAATGCGATAAGTATTAGCGAAAGAAATCTCTACCGGGTACAAATAATGCTGGTAACTTAAAGTGAAATTTTGGAGAGAATAAGTATGTCGTAACAGGAACATCGTAAGGGGTAGATCTTTGTTACAACATATCATCACCTCACGATTTCGTGGGGTGATTGATAATTTTTTATTATTTTTTATTCAGATGACAGAAATGAGCGAAATGGACTTTTCGTCCAAATCTAACAGATGGGCCAGAAAAGCCCCCAAATGTTCTGGCAGGACTGCCAGAAATGACAGATATTATTGTCACATGACGCAGCGATTGGATTAATTTTCCCTACAATGGGAGAATTATAATAACTTAAACATATTTCCAAACCAAGATATGTCTTTCCAGTCATTCCCATAATTATATATGTTTATTTACAGAAATATATCGATTTATGTTTTTAGATAATTGTTATTTTTCTCGGTTCTAATATTTTTGCATTTTTCCAAAGTTTAATTTTTTTTCTCAAATTATTTCATTAAAAACTTTTATATTAAAAAAAAATTAAAAGTTTTAAAAAATAAATTATTTTCTTCAAATTTTACGCGGCAAAAATAATTTTTTTAAATTATTTTGAATTTTTTATTTTTTTAAAAAAATAATAATTTTTTATTAAATTGTATATTACGAGTGACAAGAAGACATGATACGATTAAGAAAAGAATTTCTCGTAGCATAAATTATTAAAAATGAGACTATTAAGAATTAATAAAAATATTTTTACAAAGTTGTATAATAGTCTTACATTACCGACATTACCGCTTGGAATTACTACACAAATTCCATCTGCATTGATTTTTATTGTATTGTTAATTGCTTGTTCTACAAGAAATGTGATAATTATTATTTTTGTAAGAGGTATTAAAGGCAAAAAAGAAGCGTGAGGAAATAATTAAAAAATCTAAAGAAAATTATTAAAAAGTTCCACTGGTTTCATGGTGATTATATCTATATCTGATATCCCGTGAATAACCTAGTTATACTTTACTTTCTCTTCATATGGAATAATAAGAATAAATTGAATAAATTTAATCAAGAAGAAATTCCTTGGATGGCAGCAGTAAAGTAGATAATAGAGTGATAATGGTTGAGAATAATTTAAAGAAATATGATTTTGAATATGAATAAAATTTAAAAACTGTGTCATATAAGTTTAATATAATAAAAACGGAAATTTTAGGGAAAAATTTTTTTTTAAAAAAAGGGATTATTAGATTAGAATCATGTAATAATTAATACAAAACCTCCACCCTCCATTTGTTATATCCAACCCAATAATAAATTGGACCAGTATATGGACATTGAAAAAAATAAAATTATGAAATATATGAAAAAAAATATTTTCTCAATTCAATCAAAAATAAAATAAAAAGAAATTTTTAATAGCTCGGACATTTTTTTAGAAAAATATAAAATGTTGGTCATATATGATGCATGAATGCTATATCACGTGATTATAAATATCATCAACTTTCTTTCCAATCAAATACTGAGGTAAATAGATAAACTGTACTGTACTGTACGAAAGTGATTGTGTATACTTTTTTGGTTTTGTATAATTCTCGTACAATAAAATAAGTTTGGTTGTAATAACTTTCGTACAGTACAGTTAGTTCACACTCCAAATACTGCGGGGAATGTCTATTTTTCTTAAAAATAGTCTAAACTTAATAAGGTAAGGATATTCTTTATTTAATATTTGAAGAATTACAAAATGATTTCCAATCCCTCATGCCTATTAGTCAATAAACTTTGTTGTGAAGTTGCGTATCAAATCTTATGGAAGGATCCTTCGCGCTCCACAAATGGAGATTTCAAAAGTTGTACTACATTTTTACCTTGTATTTATCCGACAATAGCGAATTTCTATCTAGTAAAATCCGGCCACTTTCATTTGATTATCTGTCATTTTGCAGGAGTATCAATGATTATAAATCAAATGTCTCTTCTATCCGCTCTTATTTAGCCAATGAACAATTATTATTTCAACAAGAAATTTACCGTCTCCTTATAAGGAAATTCCCAATGTTAAAGTATTTGAATATGATATCACTTGAACACCAGGTTTTTTTATTACCAGAAGCAACATATCATCTCGAATCATTGTGTGAATTAAAATGCGATACGTTCTTAGATATCTGTCAATACATACAAAGGCTGATTATTGTAAATAATATAAACGCGGACAAATGTTGGACTTGTTAGTTTGATTGAAACTCAGAGAATATAAAGCATTTTGAGTGGAAAGATAATATACAAGTTATTGATTTGAAAGTATGTTTTTTAAATGATTATTACAAGAAAATATTTTGGCTTTAAAGGAAAAGGCAGATACCCTTATTTATTTTATAATTAGCTTTGATGACTTTAACGATTGTCCCAATATATGGGGTGAGTGCTGGGAAAATGGACCAAATTGATTTTTTTTAAAAAAAAAAGTTTCCAAGTAAAATAGATAGGTCATCTGATTCAGATCATTTGTTATTTAAAAAAAAAAATTTTTTGTCGATTTGGTCCCTCTTACCCAGCACTTACCCCATATTATCAAAGGTACTTTCAGAATTTCATAATTTAAAATTGTTAAAACTAAATATGATTACAGATATACTGTATCTATTGAAAAGTTCGAGATTTCAACATCTAGAATGACATCATATAAATTATTATTCAGTTAACACGATAAAATATATGATTAGAAACAGCGGAGAGCATCTCAAAAATATTTTTATCGAATTTTCTGTAATCGATGACATTGAACTTTATGATGATTCAAATATACTTATTTGTACCGTTCGAGAAAATTGTCCTTTAGTAGAATATCGTGTTTATAGCATCATACGAAAGTTTTATTGAACTTAAACATTTACTGAAAAGTTGCCAAAAGTTGAAGGTGTTAATATTAGAAACGTTTGATCATTTTATGAAGTCATGTCACGCGAAGAAAAGAATTTGGTGTCAGGAGAAAAGATATTAAACGCAATAATTAAGTTCGCAGCAATTAACCTAAATGTAATTGGATTTTGTGATAATTGTTTATTTCCAATAAATATCTAGGAGAATTTTTAGAGAATTGGAAAGATCGATTCGATCGGCTCTTTCTATTTTTTCGCCAAGACGTGAATACGAATATACAAAATTAATTGATAAATACAAGGATGGACATTATGATGCGGAAAGATTTATGAAAAATTATTGATTGATTAATCTACCATTTTTTATTTATACTCTAGTCGAAGGTTTAATAAATATATATAAGATCTCGTGATTAAAATAGTATATTGGTTCTGCATTACATTATTAACTTTTTTCGTGATAATAAAAAAATTTCATTAACCAAGGATTTACATCCGATCGATTTTATAGTATCGACATTATAATAATTTGAGCTTTATTATGATTGTCTCCCTATAAGGTTCAACCGCGCGATACTACTTACTTTGATCAATATCTAAACAATAAAATATAATCATTAATATCTATGTAAATTTGCCTTGAAAGCTATTGACTAATCAAACTAATTTTAATTTTTGAATGGGAAGAATTAGTGATTACGAAAAAATAGGCACTCATTCATTTTGTTATAATATACCAGGAACTACAGTATTTCATAACTTGAACATATCATTCTTTCATAATCTGAAAGTCCTTAGAATAATTATCTACAATTGAGACGCCATTAAAAATTAAGAAAATTTGACAATTAAAATCAAGAAGCAATTTATATAAATCACGTATAACTATAGAGACTTTGCTTTCGTGCGTGTATCGAATTTGTAATACTTTCAGAGATTATTAAAGATTATAATTTATTAACTAATGATCTCGCGATTAGCGCATATAATCAAAAATTTATTATCATCGTATTATATCAGCTTCGCTTCGGGATTCTATATCAAGTAAGGAAGAAATTAACTCTTTCCTTCGGTCGATGCACTAGAGAACTATAAACTAATATTATCTCCAGTTTTATGCACATCGCGCGATTTAGTGTTTTCCAAATGAAAATTTATGGGTTTATGATTGTTAAAATCTCTCCCAAACTCGAGTTTGTTACATTATTGATGCTTCGCAAGTGAAAAGGATATTATTCGTAAAAGTAAAAGTAATGAAATAAGAATAAATAATGGATGCCGTGAAGGAATAGAGCAGTATGTGTGGAAATTAACTAAATGTATTACGTATAATAATATCAATATTATAAAATGAAACTTTTTAATGAACAAATTAATTTTTTTTTAAAATATTTAAAAATAAATCACTGGTTGAGTTATCCTTAGTGTAAATTCATTTTCAAGATGTTAGTATTAATGTTTGTTACATTTCGAACGAATGTAGTAAAAAAT